GGCTTACTGCTCTTGCAGAAGACCTGGGTTCGATTCTTAGCACACACACATGGCAGCTAACAACCGTCCCTAACTCCAGTTCCAGGGGATTTTTGACGCTCCCTTCTGACCTCCGTGGGCATTGCACCACACAGATACCCTTAAATACATACACATTTTTAAAAAAGTATCAAATACCAATCCCATGGGAGACACCTCAAATCTAGTGTCTCATACAATCCTCCAACTATACCCTCTCATTTTAATAGAAAGGGAAACTGAGGCCCCAGGAGGTAAATTAACTTGATCAAGATCACTATGAAGGAATGGAGAGACAGCTCAGTTGGTAAAGTGCTTAAAGCATGAGGACCTGAGTTCTATCCCTAGCACCCACATAAGAGAAAAAAAGCCAGACGTGGTGGTGAGCACTGTAATCTCAGCACTGGAGAGGGAGAAACATCAGGCAATTCTCTGACACTGGCTGGCTAGCCAGCCTACCCACTTGGTGGGTTTCAGGCCAGCGAGAGGCCCCATACAACATCCAGGATTGTCCTCTGGCCTCCACCCCCCACACACAGAGCTTGCTTTGGTTCGCTCTCTGACCCAAGTCCTGTGTGTGCCTTTGAGTTACTCACAGCCACACTTTGATCCTCAGATTTTTCTCCTTTATAAAATGCTAAGCTTGGTAAAGACAGAAAAGATCCATTCCAAGAGTTTAAGAGGCTCAGAGGTGTGCCCACTGAGGGGCAAGCTACCCCAAGCCTGTTGTGACTTCTTCCTCTCAAGCTCACATCTGACCACCTTTCAGCTCCTCATCTGTCTACCCCTTCCTCACACATCTGTCCATCCTGTGTTCTGACCCTCCTCAACAGATGGTCAAATCCTTGAAGAAGGCCATGGCACCAGTGCTGAGTGACGTGACTGTGGAATGGGTCTTCCCTGAGACCTGATCTCACCTGTCAGCACTAGCTCCCTCTTTCCTGGGGAACGGCTGGTGGGGTACAGCATTGTATACGATGCTTCCCTGTACATCTCCAATCCCAGATCTGTAAGTGCACCGGACATTCTCAGGGCTCGTTGGGGGGTCCATATACCCACGAGCCATCCTTAGCTGGGAACTGACTGGATGTGGGTTTACAGTTGTGAATTAAGTTTTCAAGCTGTGGGCAGTTGATCATGGTGACCTGCTTAAGTGGGTACCACCATTTGAAAGTAAGTTTTCAAGAGCTCCTCTGGGAGAAAACTGTCTAAAATGCAAAGATAAAGCCCCAACCTAGATCTAGTGAGGATTCCCCGAGGTAACACCCAGGAGTCTCCATTTATATCTGCATTTATATAGTGTCCCCAAATGGTAAAAAGTGCACTTTAAGAACAAATACATTCAGATTTCTTTCTCTGAATACTCTGGTCAGTTTGTATCTCCTTAGCTAGGTTTGTGATTGGTTGGTTGATTGACTGATTGATTGATTGATTGATTGATTGATTGATTGATTGATTGATTGATTGATTTGGGTAATTCCCTTGTACTGGTGAGAGAATTAAATGAAAGTGTGTCTATAGCCACTTCAATCTCCAAACTATTTTCTCTGGGTGTGCAATACTTCCAAGGGAGGTGAAATTCATGCTAATATGTGGGAGAGTGCCCGAGAAGCTGTCTGCTCATCCCTCACCCCTCTTTAGTAAGTCTCTCCAATCCTCTTTAAGAATTACTCATCTTTGTTTTGTGTTGTTTTGTTTGTCTTTTTAAGACAAGGTCTCTCTGTAGCCCCAACTGGCCTGGAACTCGATATGTAGAACAGACTAGCCTCAAACTCACAAAGATCCACCTGCCTCTGCCTCCCGAGAGCTGGGATTAAAGGTGTGAGCCACTACACCCAGCTCATCTTCGGGTTTTTTTTTTTGTTGTTGTTGTTGTTGTTTTGTTTTGTTTTGTTTTGTTTTTTTAAGGTGTCACAAACTCATTGCCTGAAGTGGTTGTGAAATGGACTTAATATATTTAAAAAGACAGGAGCTGGGGGTGTGGCTTGGTCAGGAGAATGCTTTTCTTGCA